CATGCTCTGCTAACCAGCTAGCTAGCTACCATTTTTTTCCACTATTCGCCAGCTACTTATTTAGTGACCTTTTGAGTCGGGCCCCTGAAACAACAAACCTACCCCTGGGTGCCTGAATTTATAAGAGCCCCCCCTGCTCATTTCTGTAAGGCTGCCTGTGATCAGAACAACCCCCTGTTGCTTAAAAGCAATTCAGTCTGAAGTGTTTTCATGTTGTGCTTCTTGCAGCATCAGTTTCCCCCGAGTGGTTAACGAAGATTTAACTGAATCGCAGACGTCTGCAGGTTGTGTGTTATATGTTATTAAATGTCAGAGCAGAAAAAAGCCAAATAATTTAAAAATTACGCAGCTGTTTTAGCTGGGAACAAAGCTCTAGGAGTCTAAGGCCAATCCAAACATTTTCTGAAACTGCTCGATCTATTCAGGATCACGGAGGGGGTCTGGGGCCAATCCTAGAGGGTACTGGAGCAAGGCAGGGACCAACCCCAGATGGTACGCCAACCCATTGCAGGGCACACACATACCAGTCAGTCATTCATGCACACCTATGGGCAATTTGGCAACTCAAATTAACCTCAGCATATTTTTGGACTGTAGGGCGAAACCGGAGTACCCAGAGGAAACCCCACGACGACACGGGGAGAACATGCAAACTCCACACACATGGAGCCATGGCAGAGACTGAACCCAAGTCCCAGGTGTGTGAGGCAGTGGTAACCACTGCACCACCATGCCGCCCCCTTTAAGCCCAATCCTGGAGTGCAAGACTTTAAATTTGTGCTGTGTGTTTTGGTCAATGCTCCGGGTCATAGTGCTGACCTGTTATATAGTGGGCACTACACTTCTGAAGAGGTACTGGAGGAATCACATTCACATTTAGCAGATGGGTTTGTCCAAAGTGATGTGCAAATGAGGCAGATGATGTGTCAGGAGTGTAGGGGTGCCGGGGAGTTGTGCTCGGGTTCAGCAGCTGTTGGGCTGGGCTTCTGATGAGTGACCAGCAACTAGTGCAAGATGGGTCTGGGAACAAGTGATTTACAGACACTTTTTAGTACCTAACATCAGAAAAGCTATACAAATAAATATCACCTTGAGGAATCTCCACTCAGCACGCAGATTAATAGGTAAGCCTGCATCGTACCACGTATGACCCCCCCCGCCCCCCACTCCCCTTTGCGCTCCTGAACTGCTAAAGATAGACTAGTTGTGCGTTCAGAGAAGCTTCCAGTGCAGTACTGCTGTACTGAGGTGTTATTTTGGCACTTTGGCCCTTCCTGTTAGCTTTAACGAGTCTGGCCGTCCTCCTCTGACCTCTCTCATTATCAAGGTGTTTTCGGCCACAGAACTGCCCCCGGAAAGGATGTTTTTTGTTTACCACACCATTCTCTGTAAACTCTCAGCAGTGTAATACATGAAAATCCCAGGGGGGGCGGCTGTGTCTGAGATCCTGGAAGCACACTGTCTGGCGCCAGCCGGCGCACCATCTTTAGCATCACTTTGATCACGTGTCTTAGCCATTATAACACTTATTTGTGCAGTTACTGAACCTCATGATCCCATCTGCATCCATCAATCTTCTATGGTCAATTTAGAGATACTGGTTATCCTCCCTGCAAGTTTTTGGACGGCAGGTGGAATCCAGAGTACTGGAGGAGGCCCACATGACATGAGGAGAACATGCAAACACCACACACTCCCAACCATGAAGATATCAGACAACACTGTTTTCCACTGAGTCACCATGCAGCCCCAGTATACATGCTGTGTATGATCTGTTCTAGTCACATGATTTCCTGTTTAGAGGTGTAGGTTGACTGTGTTAAGGAGCAGGTGTAGCCGACACACCAAGTCTACGGGGGATTAACTGTAAGCGTGACCTACAATGACAAAGCATGCAGCAGTTCCAGCTGAAACCGCATCAATGGGTCAGTCAACCAACACAGCGTGCTGGTGAGGGTCACTGAATAGATGAGATTAGATTATGTTCTCTGAACATATGAGTCCTAAAATATGCCTTGAAGGTCATGAGGGACTAGAGAGACTGGATGTAAGCTTGTTCCACCTTCAAGGAACCATGAGTGAAAAACATCCATTAAGAGGCTTGTGGACAGGGGAGGACTGGCAACAAAATGCAGCGCGGGAATTTACCGCTGATCAGGGGGGTGTCCCCCTTGGTATATTTTGCCACTGACCAGTTGGTCAGTTAAATCATCTCCTGCAATCGACCTGGAAACACGCCAAGATCAACGAACGGGTTGGGCACCTCTGGTATATAGGCTGTATAATTCCAGGATTGGGGAAGAAAAACCGGTCCTCACAAGACCAGCACACCAGGAAAATTCCCAAACATCCTGGTAGCCAGTGCACGCCTGCTTGTGGAGGATTTGTCAAGTGACATTGGCTTGCTGGCTGAGTACAGGAAGGAACATGATATATCAACTACATGGTCATGATGAGCAGTTCGATGTTAGTTGGCGTTGCTCCAGTAAGCTCTGAAAGCCAGCAGCTAGGGTGTGAGCTTGGTGCGTGTGCCTATCGGAAGCTGATGGAATAAAGAGGACAGGGGCGCCCGTTTCAGCTGCTCAAATACCAAACGTGCTTCTGCATTTGAATCCTCTGCAGTGGTTGCACAGCAAGAACCGGCTGATAACGTATTCTCAGTTTATTAGGTTTAATTATTTATTGTGGGATTTAATTGTTCAGGCATATTGCATTTTTTTCTTCAGTGAAATAATTCGGTAAAAAAAAAATATTCCCAAGAAGTCCGTGTCAGGGCTGTGACTGACAGCCGCACCCGCGGTGCCTTTTCTGGTTGGAGCTGAAGAGAGGCCATAGCAGCATCAGGTTGAGATTATACCAGGGAACTGTTCTTGTACCTTGGAAAAAAACAAGAAAGAAAAAAAACTTCAGCCAAACTGCACCGCTAATCAGTTCCTGTTTCCGAGGTGCCGCGACAGCAAGTGATAATATCATCACAATGTGCAAGAACAATGTGCAACGTGCAAGAACACACCAGTTGTGATAGCTGTCTCTGAGAGCTGACGCCTACAAGCCCCGCCCCTTTCTCACTCTATTCCCACGTCTGTATCCCTGAGACAAACAGAAATTAACCAAGTATAAATAATTCTGCGTACATTTTTGCATCACAACCCCCACTTGGACAAGCGGAATGGAAAATTACTTGAGTTTAGGAGTACTGAAGTTTTCACTTTGAAATTAGATGCATTATCTACTGGAAATAATTGTAATTTAATAATGATATGAGACTTCAAATGTCTTTATTTAAATATTAATTTCTGTCAGACTTGCGTTTAATATCAATAATAAATATGACCGCATAAAATTAGGAAGCTGACTCTCTGACTTGGCGTCTGATTCGGGCAGATTCACACTCGCTCGCTTGATCTATTACCATTCTGGAGTTTTATGTTTAAACGTGTCTCAATATTACACATATGAATCTCTACTGTCAAAATAATCTACATCTATCCACAGGGGCTCTCCACTGGCTCATCTCACAATCTGGGCCGTGTTTCATGACCTGGTTCAAATCCAATAGACGGCCAGGTTCCCCTCCCAGACCTCACAGACGGGGCTATGTGACACACGGACGTATTAGACCCTCTCATCACTCCATAGCGACGTCTACAGTCAGCTGGGTGTCTGTGGGGCTGTGTGTGGAATCCAGCGAGCTGCGCTCTCCTCCGGGGGTGTTACCTCGCTCCGCGAAACCTGCAGCGAGCGGGTGGCTGGCAGAATACACGCCGGAGAAGGCGTCAGTCCTGACCGCTCCTCGGCCGGCAAGGGCGCCGTTAGGTAAAAGTTAAAAAATACAGCAACCGAAATAGGTTTAATATGAGAACATTTTTGTTCTTCATTGTCATCCTAACCGTAACTTCTCCATCGGGTTTGTTTGTTTATTCATTCATTCATTCATTCATTCATTCATTCATCGATTTACACAAACTGATGGTTTTTCATGGCATATTTATCACGAAATTGCTTATTACACTGCATGATATCTGATGAAATTACTTCTAAAATAGTGTAGATCGCAAAACCCTTAAAAAGCAAAATATTACGTCCCCTTCCTCTAAAAAGAGAGCCTGTTTTAGTAATCTATATCAGAGGGATATGTGGTGATTTAACTAAGAAGTGCTAAAGTAGCGAAGCGGAGCAGCCGCGCTGTTAGTTTAGAGGTCGCTGGAAATGGCTGTGCCTTTAATCCACCTTCCCACCTACAGGATTACGATACACGCTGTTCACACAGGAGTGCCTAAAGCGAATAATAAGCAGCAGTGTGTCCTGGCGATTCAAGGCGCCACATTTCGATATATACCGTCGTCAAATAAACTGCAGGCTATATAACAGATGCACCTGTACGACGACAGAGAGAATGAAAGGCAGGGCTTGACTCTGCTGTCTTCGCCTGTCACGTGCAGTCCAATAATTTCTTATTAATAATACATTTTTTTATTTGTTCAGATCGCAATGCACGGTTTCCTGCGGTCTGTTCTATATGATAATATCCGAATTGTGACAACAGGCGAAAATGACGGTTAGAATAATCAATCATCGCGCTTAATTAACAAAAGCGATAATTAAAACCCGTTGGCATCTGTTTTTCTTTTTCACATTTTCTCACATGTGTATATTTTAGTGAAAGGCAAGAACTGTCTGATATGATCAATCCTGGTAGCAATTTGCACCCATTATGTTACACGGAGATATTTAGAGATGTTTGTTAGTCTCTTTTGGTACGTTTATGTCCTCCGGGGTCGATTTTTTATGCATCACTTGACAATATTTTCTCTTGCATATGGGGGCCTAAGTGGCACCGTCGGAGCCGCCGGGGGCACCGCTTCAGAATCGTCCATGCAGAAGCGCTGCGTCCGTCCGGCCGCCCTCCTCCCTGCCTGCCTCCCTCCGCCCGGCGCGGCTGTGGGCGTTGTTTCGGAGCGCAACGTGGGGGCTGTCATTTCGGTGCCACATTGGCAGGAGCCAGAAACAGCCCCTCGGCTGCAGCTACCGGCACTTGTGCAGCCACTGCCGCTATTGAGATTACGTGAATGCGCCCGATTATATGCGTTTTTTTTTTGCTGATTTCTTCGTCGGCGCCTCTCCAGCCGGTGCCTCTGTGTCACCTGTCTGTACTTAGATAAGCGCATCCGTTCAGGAAATCCGCTGGAGAGCAGAAGATGACATTTGGAAGAATTTATATATCAACGACGACCTGTCATTAGGTATTTGCCGTTTTATATTACAGAGCTGTGACCGATTCTTACGTGCTGCATTGAACTATGTTTCATCTGGAGAGCAAAAATCGACAATTTTGCCTGACGCCTTTGCTTAACTTGTTAGACTGTTTCATAAACATATTTTTAAATTAGTATTTTTCCAGTGATTAAAGTATTCTAGTTGAAATAGTTGCGCCTTCTTTATTTCTATAAAAATATTTTGTACGGAAGAATTTCTGGACTCTATATATTAGTTGCGTTTATTTTGCGGGTCTGTGCTTCACTAAATAAGGTTATTACAATTTATTCCGTTGGTCTCCCCTACCGGCTTTCTAAGAAATAGGAGAATAACAAGTCTTCACTTAAGAGGTGCCGATGCACCTCCTCCAATGGGGACTTCTGAAGGATCTGGACACTGAAGTCATTACAGGTTGCGAGAGGTTCATTTTAAGAAAAAAGGAAGAGTACCACAGCCGCTACAGCCCCGACAACCGTGGAAAAAAAGTTGAAGATCATGCAATTTCTTGCTGAAGTCCATTGGAGTCTTGTGTCGGGAGGCAGCGGAGCAGGCAGGCGGGGGCATCTGTAATTCGCGCCCAGTTTTATTATTTTGATTATTATTATTTTTTTATATAAATCCCCACACCCTGGAATGAAGCACAGCGACAATGTGTGACAGAGGTGTCCAGATACTGATTACCACGGTGGGCGCATTCGCCGCTTTCAGCCTAATGACAATAGCAGTGGGCACAGACTACTGGTTATATTCCAGGGGCGTGTGTCGGATTAAAGCGCCGGGCGACAACGAGACCAACCGGAAGAATGAAGAAGTGTTGACCCACTCGGGGCTGTGGAGGACCTGCTGCCTGGAAGGTCGGTTGGCCGGATGGGCGAGTTCAAACCCCATAGTGGCTTCGCCTTCGTCTTATCCATAGAGACAAGGCATGTGAAAGAAATGTCTCTAAATCCGCGATCAGTCTTTTGGCTTTTCGTGAGGTGTCCCTTTCCATGCAGCAAGGTAGATTGACGAACTCGGTAGTAGTTTGGAAACAAATTAACGTGTCCGTGTCCCTTATGGGCTCTGCGTGAAGGCATTAGAATTGGAGGCAGCAGTCATTCGCATCTGGAGTTATTCCCGGAATCTGTTATGCGTGTATGTTCTCGGGGAGCATAAATGATCGGTAAAGACCGGGGGTTCAGTGAGTGCTTAAGGTTTATAAGATGTCCTAGACGTTATATTTTAAAATGGAAGCCTTTCACCTCTGCTTCGCCCTATGTCTGCTATCTGTCTCCCAAACTTACTTGGTTTTGGTTCTGATTCAGGGTCTGCATTGCCTATCCTTCATTAACGCATTTTGATGAAGGAATTGGGGGGGGGGGGCTTTAAATAAAACCCATGAGTCATTTGTACCCTTTAAGTGTCAAAAAATGTGAACATCTGTACAGTACTCACCCTCTCTTTTTATTTAATAGCGACTCCAATGATCTTCGGAACTGAATTATGAATGTTAACATAGCCTAAGTAATGCATATTCGCGTTGTGCTCTTCTTGCACAATTACATTATACTAGCGCTTTAAGATGACTAAGATGATCGCCGTTAAACAGCATGAACCAGCATAAGGGATGGATGTGAATCTTACAGGTATGCTGCATCTGAAATCAGCGCCCAGCACCTATGCACATGTAGTGCGCATCTGCCCCCCGTACATCTTCAAGCGCAGTCTCAATATAACTCCGAAGTGTTTTCCAGTGGTGAGATTCCTGCTTTTTATCTTGAGCACAAAATATTAAACACATTTATTAAACCTAAAATGCAGCCATTTTAGGTCTTGTTCGGCCCTTATGAAGATAATTTGTTTAAGAAAACGTTACGGCGTGTTGACCTGACAGTACGTGAACCCTATAAAATGTCTGTGAAGATTGTGTAGTGATGACAAGAAGGAGGTACCAGTTGGACACTGGAAATCAAGCTTTGATCTCCTGTCATACTTGTCATCCTCTTGGAAAATATTACGGCCATGACATGTCGTCAAGTGACGTCCATTTAATTCGGTATAGCCCACTCGCCTATTCTCAGACCCGGGCGCTGAATCCCTGAAAGACTAGTTGTCTGTGTACTAAGCAGGGTTTGACAGAACGTAGCCCACATCTGTGTAAACAAAGCAGGCTCTGGATAAGGCTTGCTTGCAACAATTTTATTATCTTGTTTATAACTCGTATTATAAACACAAAATAAATTTTATGAGCGTTAATCTCACGGCACCTGAAGAACGCTTCTGTTGTAAACATAGTTAAATCGACCTTACTTGCTAAGAAATACTATATAATGCCCTTTCATTGTTTTGAAAATATCTCCTAGGTTTCATTTCTGAAGGACACCATTTCTGAGAAGGAAACACTGGTGGCGGTAGGAGGTGGGGTTGTATGTTGCTTTGATGAAATTAGCTAGGGATTTGCACAGCTGGTGTGACATGGAGCGTGTCTGAGCTGGAGTGAACGCCTCCTACAGTAGCAACAGCCAGAGTGCGGGATAAAGGTGCGGCAACGAGAGGACTCTCCTCTCTGTGAGGTTTTATTGCCTCGGTGTCTTCCCTCTTTTATCCTGTTTCTCACCATAAAGAGAGTAGAATACCAGGCTGACCAATAAAATAGCGCCTAGCCTAGATGACTAAGCGTCTTGTTTGGCGGGCTCATAGGATAGCTTATTCTTTGGTTAACCAATAGAATTGCTTGACTGGCTGACCAACAGTGTAGTGTCTTTGCTTAACTTACTAATATGACAGTCTCTTGATTGGCTGACCAATAGTGTCTTGCTTAGCTGACTATTACGATAGTGTCTTGTTTGGCTGGCCAATAGGATAATAAATTGCTTGACTGACCAAATGGTTTGTTTATGGCCATGGATGACACCTACTTAAGGCACCGTTATAAAACTTAAAGGTATGCTACTGGCTTGACCCCTGCTGAATAAAGAGCAAAAGGCCCACCATCATCATAAAATTTTGGTTTGTTACATTATAAAGTCAGTCTAAATGGTTGTTTTGGTTGCTACATTATTGCTTACGATTGCGAAACACAGATTTAAATAAATGCTAATCAGGACTAATTATTATGGTTTCCCCTTATCATTAAAGTGTAGCCGCAAGCTAATTGCAAAGGCATTTTCTCTGCAGACTGATGAAGGTACTGCCCTTCACAGAAGCGTGATGGCGCATGGCTTTTGCAGAAAGTCCGCACTGTACTGGAAACTTCACGAAGTCTTTATTGTGACACTAGGGGGCGACGTTATTATCTAACTGCAGTGCAGGAATCTGCCACGGGCCAGATCAAATGTCATTTTTCTCTTGAAAGTGTAACTTTCCACCAATTCCTTTGAGTAAACTCTTTGGCTTTTTCTCCAGTTTGGTTTCTATGTAGTGTTTATTTTTTCCATTGAAGTGCCAGTCTGGACCTTTTGTCTGGTCGTCCTCCCACGTTGAGTTACTCTACCTGGTTTTGTCTCACTCTCTATTATTTTTTATGGTATTTTTCCACTGTCAGTACATACTACATACAACAACAACAAAATGGATTTCCACCTTTCATCCACTGTTTGACCTGCATAATACAGGGCAGACATTAGAGGAAATGGGCAGCTATTTAAAAGAGAATTTCACAGGATCGTAAATGGGCTTTTTTGGGGGATCTTTTTCACTGACTGTGTATTAGGGCTCAGACTTTCCTGTTTGTTTGTTTTTTTATTATTAAAAACCAGGCAGGGAAAATATAGAGACCAGGCAAGTTCAGAACAAGGTGGGGGTCAAGTGTCAGTCAAATCAGTGGGGCACTGAATCTCCCAAGGTCCACTCCACGGATCAGGCTTCCTGGGCTCTGCTGGAAGGCAAAGATATATTCAACACCATGGTCTTCCAGTTTACCTTTAAAAGTGTTTGCTTTGAACACCATGTTTTTCTGTTAGACCTTAAAAGGGGGAGTGCTTAAGACTGAACACTATAGTCTTCCATTAGACTCTTTTGGGGGCTTATTTGCTCTTGTTTCAAATCACGATGGAATTATTTTTATTTGGGCACAACACTATGTTCTGAGGTAAGATGTTTTTCAGTGAGATGCTTTGGTCCTGGCCAGAAGCTCTAGCTAGGATTTCTGGGACATACCTGTGTGGTTGGTGAGAGCATGCTGTAGTGTCAGGTCTGAGCCTGAAAACACACCATGTTCAGTTAGTATGAGGCATATCTTTTGAGTGAAACCTGATCTGCTTGTTTATAATCACTGGATGCTGTGTCGCTCTTCGTTGATCCAGCTAACAGTGACTGTATTTTCTTTTAGGGAAGCCATTCCCACTCGGGTTGCTGAGGCAGAGCTGTAGAATATAGGTACCAATATGCATGATCTCTCACAGAGAAATGCACGCTCATCGTAGAGTACCAATTTGTACTCAACATCACTGATATGCCTCCATCCACCACAGAAATCAGTTTTAAAGCACAATGGACTGAAAATGTGGTTTTCTTATGTTCTTTCCAGCATGGGCTGTTGTTCTGGCTGTGCTGTGATTCTGGCTGTCTGTGAATGAGCAAGCTCTCTGTGAATGAGGGAGCTGTCTGTGAATGAGTGAGCCGTGTGTGAATGAGATAACCGGGCTGAGTTAATCGGGGGCAAATTGTAAGATTGCCTCCGCAGATAGCACAGGAAGACGAGCCGGAGATACTCTGCTTGCTTTCTGCTTTTGAATGCCACGGTGTAGATTCTGGAATCACAGAGCCGAATGTGAAGGCTGTGACTCGCCAGAGCCGGACAAATTATCAGCAGTGCCTTTTCATTGGCATAGCGAGAAACAGCAACTGGGCACAGGGATGAGAGAAAGACAAATCGATGTGATGTAGACTCCACGGTGTGAGCTTCACTTTCTGTGGGGACCTGGACAGCCTGCTTTAAATTAAACTGGGCATTTAAATATTAACAGACTTTCATGCTAACCACAGGCAGGCAGGCTCCGATTTCTGGACTGGATTCCAAGAAAAAGCAGGAAGGGCCTTTCAGGGCCGCAACCTATCAGGGTCGCCCATCAGCAGCCTTACCCTGTTGGCTGTGCCGTGACGCCAAGTGTGGGAGCCAGGTTTGATTTGTTCCACATCACCCATGAGGCTGCTGCTGTCTGCTCTTTTATTAAGGGTCACCAGCACAGGGTGTCCCCTTCACTCACATCTTTTTGCACTGTCATTGACATGTTGAAACACCCCTCCTTTGGCTGAGAGCTGGCTTGCGGCCGTGCGAAAGGAATCAGCCAATCAGACTCTACAGTACAAGCGGAAAGCGAGGGAGACCAGGGAGCTGGAAAGGCATGGAATGTGGAAGGATAGCGTTTCACACTTTCCACATAATTCCTATCCTCTCCATCTTCGTCTCAAGCCGCTTTGCTCTGTGTCATTCGCAGCGGTGAGAGTCATGTGACCAATGAGCATAGGGAAGGCGATGCATTAAGCTGTGTGTGTGTGTATGTGTGTGTGTGTGTAGTTCAGTTATATATTGCATTGTGGGGACCAAATGTCCGCACAATGCGATAAAAACCTGTTATTTTGACGCTGTGGAGACCATTTTGTCAGTCCCCACAAGGGGAAATTCAATTTAATAAAACCTGAATGCAATCGAAACACTAAAAATGCCACAAGACTTGTATTTTGTTTGGTTACGTATGGTTAAGGTTATGGCTGGGTAGCAATTAAGACGGTCATTGTTGGGATTAGGGTTTTGCCGATAGAAATGAATGGACAGTCCCTACAAAGATATGAGTACAGGTGTGTGTGTGTGTGTGTGAGAGAGAGAGAGAGAGAGAGAGACTATTATTCAGGTCCCCACAAAGATCTGTGAATGCAATCAAAAAATTTATAATGCCAAAAGTCTCGTATTTTGTATGGTAACTTATGGTTAAAGTTAGGTCCAGGTAGGGGTTAAGGTCATCATGTTGGAATTAGAGTTTTCTCCATAGAAATGAATGGAGAGTCCCCACAAAGACATAATCACTAACCTGTGTGTGTGTGTGTGCGTGCACAGTGGGGATGCCTCGGCCTCCATGCTTATGGAATGGTATTGGGAACACACCTGCAGACGTTTACAGCCAAGTGCTGCGTGGGAGATTAGCTGGGGATGAGGGGAGGGGGGGGGGGTTCTACATGAGATGGGGGTGGTGCTGGTTACTGGAGAGGGTGGGGGGATGACTCACTGTCTGACTCACCGTGTCGTTCGTATGAGACCTGGTTTCATTCAACTGCCTGAATCGCTGCCCACATGTACACACGAATGTACACACACACAAACCACGAAGAACCACACACACACCTTTCAGAGACACACAAACACACACACCACAGAGTCACACACCTCACAAACACACACACCACAGAGATGCCACCAAGATAGACACAGATATATACACACACCTCAGAAAGAGACACACATGTGCACACACACATACACACACACACACACACACACCAAAAAGAGACACATATCCATCCATCCATTTTCTGTAATCGCTTGTCCTATGCGGGGTAAATCCAGAGCCTATCCCATAGTCACATATACTGTATACAGTACACCCCAAAAGAGGCACAGGTACACACACGGAAGACACACAAACAGGCGTTAACATCAGCCCGCTCCACCTAATCCTCTGCCCTACCACACTATTCCCCTGTGTTCATCGCGCAGACCCCATTTAATACCCTGCGCTTTGTCACACAGGTTGTCGCAAAGCTGTGGATTTACACGCGGCGCGAAGCAACCCCGAGCGCCGCTCCCAGCGGCCCCAAGCGCCTGTGCGCCGTCCTCCCTCCGAGCAGGGCGCTTTATGCGAGCCACCGTCTCCCGTTTATCCGTGATTCAGCCCACGCCGCCGAGAGTGCGGAAGACCTCCGGCTCCAGAGGAATGGCGCTTAATTACCTCTCCTCATTAAGCTCCCGGGTCTCTGCTCTGCCACCTGGGCTGAAAAGCCGTTTATGTCACCTGAGCGGCAGATGAATTAAAGCTCTACCCATGCATTACAGCTGGCTGTTTGCACTGAAGCAATTTAGGTGTAAGGATTACAAATGAAGGCTCTTGTGTGTATCTGTACAGTTGTATATATTTTTTGAAATCCCTCGATGGTACTACAGTTTCCATTGTGAGATCTGAGCATGCAGTATACAGTATCCGGTACCTCGCACCTAACCGGGGAGATTGCTATGCGCGACTCTCCTGCCGGCCGGCAGCGGCAGTACGGATAGCCGCCTAAACCGATTATGTCCCCAAAACGTTCACCAGCTGGTGATCAGGAAGACGGGTGACAGACACCCAGTCGCATCACCGATTAGAGAGTTTAATGAACGTGGCGACTTTTAATTCGGGAGATTATTTTACGGGGGATCCACTCAGTCACGTTAGCAAAAACATCAGGATTTCTGTTACTGCTAAACGAATATTAACAAAATGCAATACAATGCAATACTAAAATGATGTTTTTTTTTATATATATATTGTATTTGAATAGCACCCAGCAACTCTGCTCAGAGTAAGTGCCTGGACATTGGTTAGATGTAAATAACCTGTAATTTTTAAATCATTTGGATAAATATTTCTTTAAGTAGCACACCATAATACGTTATTGCTGTTTTCCTTTGAATAAGGCTTACGCCGTCTTTTTAAGACAGAGCATGTTGGATGGTGAATCGGTCGATTTCCCATGTTCTAAGTGAAAACGAAAAGGCTTTGCTCTTCGCGGACGTGACAGCACAGTCTGGGCGATTTTATTCTCATATCTGAAAAGCACAGAGGCAAGGCATTTTCTCGACAAAACAAAGCGCTTGAGGTGTGTGGATTCCGGGCACTGACTGCTTACAGAGTTTCCCCAGCTGTCAGGTCTTTTGAGGTATTCAGGTCTTCCTCACACTAAATTCACAACTGTCAGTGTAACACATGAATAAAAATAGGCGTTTAAAAATTCAGCATATTTTTTTCCCGCTGCACCTGAAAACATTAATAACCCTGATAGGTGGAATTCTGCTTGTATTACGTGTTCTTTGACCACCACTCCGCCCCAGAAGCATGTTGAAAGACCTCCACCATCACCACCACCCAGGTTGGTTGTCATGAATTTATAAAGAGCGATTGAAAAAGCATCCAGGCGAGTAATAAGAGTGCGGCCAGATCGCACGGTTCAGGCTACGGTTCAGTCTCTGTCGGGTCACCAGCCGGGGGCAGGAAGCGAGCGCGTGTTTATCTGCCACGCTGAGTGTCACGCAAATAGCGCTGTGACCCGCCGCTCCTCGTTAAGCCTGGAGCGCGGAGGCTGCACGTCAGGCGCGCAAACGACCTCGCGCGCATACTCGCGGTAACGCGCAGACGCGCATTAGCACTGGCTGGATGTGACCCCAGTCTTTCTCACCCACACAGGAGCGTTCCGAGGCATCTGTAAGAGGATCGACCACTTTCCGGAGGATGCCGAATTTGACAGGGCGGATTACATACTGCGTGAGTGTGCCGCCGTGACTCTCATGCCACACCCACCGTCCTCTCCATTACTTTTATGATACTTTTATAACCTGATTCTCATTGACACGCCCTGTCTGTTTTTACCCCCTAATTCTCATTGGCAAGTCTTTTCTCCGCCCCTTGACTCTCATTGACACACCCAGTTTGTCTCCACCCCCTAATTCTCACTGGCGAGTCTTTTCCCCGCCCTCTGACTCTCATTGACACACCCAGTTTGTCTCCACCCCCTAATTCTCACTGGCGAGTCTTTTCCCCGCCCTCTGACTCTCATTGACACACCCAGTTTGTCTCCACCCCCTAATTCTCACTAGTGTGCCTTTTCTCCACCCCGTGTTTGTCATTGACACACCCTGTGTACACCCCCTAATTCTCACTGGCAAATCTTTTCTCCGCCCCTTGACTTTTATTGAGGCACTCAGTGTATATCCACCCCCTAATGCTCAGTGGCATTGCCAGTCTGATGTAGCAGAAAAATAACCAAGATGTATTGCTTTCAGTGTCTGGCCCATTGAAAAGAAAATGCTTTAATATGAGCTTCAGTCTCAGCCTGCATGCATGCTGCATTTTAAATGCTTGATTTTGAACACAAACTGTACCATTTTGCATTTTTGATGACCTGCGCACAAAAAGTAAAATTCATAATGAAGTCAGCTTATATTACAGTACCCTGAGGGAAAGGACTGTGAGGTTACATAATGAAAGACCTCAGGGTAAAAATCCTACTTTCTTGTGACTTTCAGCGTCTTTGTACTGGGGATGAATAACACAGATGCAAAGGAGTTATCCGTAGTCGTTTGGCAGTGTGTGTGTCCGAGCATGTGCTCCGTGTCTGTGTGCATCTGAGCGGGTGATCTCTGTGTATGTGTGTCTGAGCAATGCCGCCGATTAGAGATGACACGGATGTCTGACAAAGCAATGAGACGCCCTGCTCCGTACCCACACGGAGGATCTCGAATGGCTATATAGACACACAGACCGGGCTGAGACCGGGGGCGGCCGAAGTGGCTCAAATGTCTGATAAATTCTTGGTCATTCTGATGTTAGGGTGCGGATGGAGTTGCAGCCAATAATGGAATGCAGCGAGTGACGGCCAATAATTGAGCAGGGTGAGTGACAGTCACTGAGAGGTCAAGTGGAGTAGCAGCCAATGAGGGAAGAGGGATGTTATGCAAGAGGACTGGCAGCTGATGATTGTGCAGAGGGAGCGTCAGCCAATGAGGGAACAGGGCTATTTTGCAGGAGGACTGACAGCCAATGATGGTGCAGAGAGAGCATCAGCCAATGAGGATCAAGGGTCCCATTGACCTTTACTATGCAGCTGCCCCAGGGAAGAGCCTTTTCAGTGCTTCGCCTTAACACAGTGCTGAGAACACGGCTGCCTCACCAATCAGTATGCAAGATATTGATAGTACCCTCAAATGACCATGGCTCAGACACACATGCAGCAATGGCTGATACAGGGTCATTTTCTCAACAGACCTGTATTGGAGTAAGTTTTAATTGCAGCCGACCTGTTCCAGAGGCGGGATTTCTGTGTGTCTCTGACTAAAGGTGTAGGCAGGGCTGACCAATGAGGATAATGGCCCCGGGGGCGGGGCTAGCCACGGAGACTTAGAGGTTTGTGTTCACTCGCTCCCTGCCCCCCCCCCCAGCCACCGTACAGAGACATTTTGTAATCATTGCTGCCCTGGGCTTCCCATAACAGACATTCACCGCCTCAATAAGTGACTTAAACCTGGCAAAACAGGGGTGGCTGGAACACGGAATGAGGGGGAAATATCTCATGCCCCCCCCCAGGCTCTGCAGCATTGATGAGGTGCATCATGGGAGATCGCCTTCTCCAAGAAAAAAATGATCAAGAGATGAGGAAGGAAGAAATAGGCAGAGGTTTTGATGTGCAGGAGGAAGGGATTAGGAAAGTGAGTGTGGTCTGAATGTGGGCAGGACCGGTCAGCACATCTCAGTGGGCGGGGCTTACTGAAAAATGATATCCTGTCACGTGTCCAGCTTAATGCCTGCCAATGTCAACCCTAGTTCCCATTAACTCCAGTTTCACTGAGATCATTCCACGAGGTCGAGAGACAACATCCTTGATGTGACTGAGGCCAAATTCAACTCTTCGCCCCTTTCTGCAGGTCACTGCAAAGGGGCGGAGTTTTTCCTCCATTCTATTTCCCATTTACAGGGCTGCCACAGCAACTCAACGTTGCCAAGCCTACCGTGCACACAACCACTGACTCTAAACTTGATTTTAAATTATCCGATTGTTATGCGATTGTGTGTTCATCTTGAGGTTATGTTGCAAGTAGGTTCGCCCTCTTTCAGCACTTCTCTACTTGCCCGCAGAGTTTCGCTAACGTAAACATTAGCATGCGGTTTGCTATGATGAACGCCGCCGCTTTCGGTGCCTTGCCACCTCCCAGAATGCCTTCAGGGTCTAATTCCACTGAGATGAGGCCTGTGTAACTGCATGCTGTTTGCGGGGCTGTTTCCTGAGTCCTTATTTTCCCTGAGCAGTTATTACATATTGCGAGGTAACCCCATGGGACAGGGGTAGACACGGATAACCCGAAAGCTAACCGGAATGAGGCGGCTTTGGCCAGTTCAGACGGGTGCTGCAAAGGTTCCTGGGACTTCCAGCGAGACTGGGAAATTCCTACCACAGTGAGGCACTAGTCAGTCATGAAACAAGAAGCTTTTTAAATGTAAAAATGTTATTTTCTGAGGTATGGGTCGGGAATTCAGCAGCAGCAACTCAGGGCGAGTTGGTTTGTGAGCACGTCAAAGAGAACAAGCACCAGAAAGGAAGTTTAGGAAGCAATATCTTGCTGAAAGTAAACACCTCATGTTCACTACTCAATGTTAACAGGATGTTTGCCAAACACCACAGAAGTACAATATCAAAATTTACTACGGAATCGAATCGGCACCTGTGTGACCTAGACCCAACAAAAAGCTGGCCGTGGTCTTCATAAAACTAGAATGTATGGCAGGCCTGCTATTTGGGAAGCGCCCAAGCAGGATGCACAAATACGCATAACCTTATGTGAGGAGCACAGAACCTGGACCACTGAACAAAAGAAAAACGTCATGTGATCTGATGGGTCACCTTTTACCCGGTTTCTCTGCGTCCAGAAGGGTTTATGCTTGTAAATAGCTAAAGGCTGCTTTCAATCCACAATGTGGGGGGGGGGGCAGCCATCTTTTGGGAATCACTGGGTGTGTAATGATCAATGATGTCATTTTATAGCAGCATCAGGGCTCTAGCCACAAGGTTTGAAAACAGTTTTCACCTAAAAGCCATCAACTGTCGCCAATTATAGGATACAAGGACTCTGCAGATAAAACTGCCTACAGACTTTATTATTAATACTCTCATGACCATTTTTTCCCCTTTTATTTATTGTTAAGTGTCATTGTTTTGTTATTGTCCGTGTTACTTACAGTCTATGTCGTCATCACTGATGCTGCTACTTCCTGTCCGTTTTTGTTAATGTACTAGTCACCGGTAGCCTGCAGGGGGCGTGGGAGAACCCCTCTCACCATATTAAATACATATGATGGTAAACCTGAACTTTTCACTGGAGCGGGTTCACACCGTTCCCTCACGATGCTCCAAGATGATAATGTCCCCATACAGGCTGCTAAGCAAATTCAAGGCTGTCTTCACGAATGTGGAGGGTGGAGCCAAACATCATGTGTAGCCCGCCCAATCCCCAGGTCTAAACGTAAACAGTGTGAAGCAGATTTATAACACTTTCATCTCTCGAAGAAATGGAAGGTGGCCCCGCTCCTTATGAGGCCTTCAATATTAATACTTTACATGTCCATTATTTCACCCCCCCCCCCATATCTGCCAATATACAGGCAGCTTTCGACTGATGTAGGTAATCAGCTCCACAAACCCTTACCTAAGTCAGATTTTACGTGAGTCGGATTTTCCTTCCCGTTCTATTCGACACCTTATAAGAAAAATGCATAAGCCAAAAATATACTAGTAATATATACAAAAGAACACCTATTAAATAAATGAAAATATGAAGTGTAAATTTACTTAAAGGCATATGTCACCTTTTTTGTGTTAGCGCTTCTGTAAACTATATGTTTCATGGATGATTTTTGTGTGTAAGTTGAGGACTGCCTGTAAATGTTTGCATTATGTAAGTCTATGTGATTTACTGATGAGTAATAGTATGCAGTTCCAGTCAAAAGTCTGGATACGGCTATTGGAAATCATTTGTTTCCAAAAGTCAGAATTCTGAAATTAAAGTCAGAATTCAAATTATATTTTCATGGTGGCCCTAATCCTCTTCCGTAGATATGTGTTACTGTCTTGCCTCGAGACATTTTGCTACAGGCTGTCCCCAGGTTACAAATGAGATCCATTCCCTAAGTCTGTCTTTAAGTCAAATTTGTAAGTCAGAAAAACAATAATATAGGCCATAATAATCATATAGAATTAATAAAAGTTACTACATACGGTACTATACTGTACCTCAAGCTGATGAACCAGTGAAGTTTTTCACAAGCGTCACAAAGTAGTGTTATTGGTGAACCATATTAACCCAAGGTTTTAATATAATTGGAAAGAGACTTGTGTAGCTGTGCGTTGGGGTGCAGAACCACTCTACTGTGTTGGGTTTGTGAGTATGAGTTACAGGAAATGCTTACTTGAGCCTAATCCCAAATTCCAGCAGTCTCGTGCTCCAGGGTTCCCTGGAGGACAGTATCAGTCGGAAAGCTCGCAAGTCGTGGAGAATTGCAGTCTGTTTTAAGTACGAATAGCCCCTAAGTCAGATGTTTTTAAATCAGGGACTGCCTGTGCGAGGCTGAAATACACACAAATGTATTACAAGTAGGTGCTAACTGCGACGTTAGCAGGGAAGCCGACTTTTGACTGGCATCTTAACGTGTGGATTGATCAGCACA